TGCCTATGTTCAGCAGTGGACTTTAACAGGCTGAACGGCATGCTCGTACAGATTCATTTTAGGACGAAACGCATGTCGCATTATCGACTGTATTAGTGTATTACTTACCTAGTATCGTAGTGGAGTTAGTTGAAGTGGTGGCAGGGTTAGAGCTAACGTTTTAATAATTTTTGTGAACATGAAATGTATGCTCTTTTTATTTTATTTTTTATATAATAATCTCTTTCCGCAAAGTAACACTTAATTCTGTTAATTACACTATTGTGTAAAAAAACAGTGTCCGACGGCTCGGTATCGCTGTGCTAAACTAAGCGATTTATTGCGATTCATGGGTTCGACCCCCAAAGGAAAAAATATTTGAATCAAATTCTTGCACATGGGTTCATTGCTGTGAGCATAGAGAATATAACCACTGTGAGCAACAAGCGACTGAACAGCTGAACACGGGTCTCTGTGGGCTACTGCTTTACTATGACAACACGTCCGCGCACTCAGCACTCTAAAGTAGATACTTCCTGGATAACATATGGGATCTCAGTCTACAGAAAATAAGATCTACTCAAATCAAAAATACAAATTTGGATATTCGGATCGATTATTAGGTAATATTAATAGCTCGTGATTCTGCATACAGTCCAGACTTTGCACTAAATAAAATTTAAACATAGATTTAATGAGAGGTTTCACATTTACGGAACCAGATCAGACCATCATTGTTTTCAACGAGCACCTGAAGAACATGTCCTCAGACAAACGGTCTTCATGTATTCAAAATTGGTTTAAACGATTTTTTTAAGTGTATACTGAAAAGCAGTAATATATCGGAGATAAATTTTGACTTGGAATTTGAAAGAATGATGTTAAGTAGATTATAGCACATTATTAAAAAGTCACATGTTAGAGTAGTAGACTATATAAGATAATTAAAATATTTTTACAAACGGCTCAGTTCATAACTTCTAAAATTTAACGCATATAACATCCCAAACTCAGCGTAAAAAAAGTGCGCATCGGCAAAATTCATTATAGATTTGTCAGATTGAGATGACCTTATTGCTATATTATATATATATATATATATATATATATATATATAATATATAAAAATATATATATATTGAACGAAGAGTTTAACATTTACAATTATAACTAGCGGGACTGTAACTGAAAGCTTCTCTGATTTAACGCTTCGCTAAGTTTTCGGTTTTATTGTGAGTACATAGTTTAAATACTGTAGTACTATAAATTTTTATAAAGGCTAAAATTAATATTTGGCAGCTTTTAAAAAGCAAATCTTATTAACATTACATTGCGTCATGAAGATCTCATACTCCTTCCTAAAATAAATAAACTATGTAAACAAATGTATATGTGCTTACTGGTTTTAATTCTTGATCTTTGCAGTGCATTCCTAACTAAACTTGTGTCCGATTTTAGCCTTCTTTTACGGATCTTATATGAGCTATAACTATTTATTGATTTAAATGATGCTTCTGATCCTGTTGACAGCCTGCTAGATGAGTCCGATGATTTAAGTGGCTTTCTTTCTGTTAAAAAGTCAGTCAAATGGGTTGGTGTACTGCGCACACTACATTTAGTCTTCTTCAAGGGTCGAAATTCCCCATTGTCTTCAAATGAATCGTTTCTAAATCTCTTATTAACCAAACACTGTTCAGAATTCTTGTTAGATCTTGATTCCTCTAAATTAAATTCCTTACTAAATGACAGATTTACATCTATAATGCTGCAGCTGTTTTGTGTAGCAATTGACTCCGTTTGAGTGGAAGAATTGGATCTACTTACATCTGTCATCATAATACTTACAAAAGGCAGTGAGTTATTGCTCTCATTATCTTTAAGATTGTCTAAATTAGTCTCCAAAGAAATATCAATTAAACTATCTTTGGAACATTTTCGTATTACTTCTATTGAATTATTGATTGAGTTTTTAGTTTCGTTGTCAAGGTTACTTTCTTTTTTATCTCTCAGTGTCATTTTGTTTCGACTTTACGTTACACCATCGTTAGACACCAGTTTTATTTTAACATTAAATTAAATAATAACTAATAAATTTCACGCCTTGATCCCTTGATCGAAACAAATATCTTTAATGTCGGGTACTTGTATATTTTTTATTTTTTATCCATCAGCCCGTTACTACCGGGTTTTCATATAAAATAACTCTTTTGCTGACAGATAACGAAAATATATCGACGGTCTAGAAAACAAACGTGCTTTTACACGTTTAGTCATTTTTCAGAAAACCAGTTTAAGGTTTCATAAGTTTTCTGTAAGACTATTTATTACGCAATGTAACAGGAACTTAGTTCTAAATAAACATACATATCTACAAAAATATGCAGAAAAAATCTAAGACATGAAAAATGATCATTTAATACTTTGGAATATTAAATTGTAATGTTTAAGTGGTCATTTTACGTTATAGTGTTAAGAGCGCCTCGTGATATTGCCCAAGTAGATTTCAGAGATATATAAGGTCGGGATAAAAGTACATATTTGTTAACTCAGAGTATGACCTCTCTGTATGCTAAATTTTATCCACAACCATTCAGCCGTTTTTCATGTTGAGTAACAAACATCCATATACCTAAACATCCAATTTAGTCATTTTTCATTTACTACGACTATCTTCCACTTCATTATCATCGTGATTACAGCCGTTCACAAGTCTACTGCTAAACTTTAGTCTTCCCCAAAGTACTTTATGTCTCACAAAATACGGTTATGAGCTACCTGCATAAAAAAGAGTATAGTAATATATACGGAAACCTGCATCCATCGACTTTGAAGCCGACGTAGCGCAACGGATCAATAAGCTGAAGTTGCTCTACTCTATGTTGGCAACAATGATATTATAAGTAAAAACGTCTTATAATATCATTGGTTGGCAATCAAACCAAAAAAACTAAATAGAGTATTTAAAATGCAGCTAAACCGCAATCCGGTGTTAGATTGTGTAATAAAACTATATCATTTATTTTCTTCTTTTTTTTCTTTTTTTCTTTAAACAAAAAGAATATTAACAATGCTATAAACATTACTAATATTCCCCTTAACCATTCGTGGTAAGCATAAATTGCTTTTGTTACGAGTAGTTCACGCCAGTAGTCGAATGACGGATTCGAACCCACGACCTTTTTTGAGTTCGCGGTCCGCGCCCTGCCATTAGGCTACTGTCGCTTAAATTTGTGTCTTATTATTGTTTTGGTTAACCAAATCAACTTTGAATCTTAAAATCTTAAAACAAACAAACTTATTTTTATTTTTATGTATTGAAATTATGAAAATAGAAATGAAAATTCAACTTATTTTATTAATTGTTTCCTCTATTAGTGAATGTTTGGCAATATGGTGTTACCAATGTACAGCAGCCACTCCTGGTTGCAATGAACCCTTTAACTGGCGAGTTATTGGTTATTTAGGAAGTCCTTGCGTCGATAGTGAAGATGTCTTATTATTGTATCATAATTCCAGTCCAAAATACATTCCAGATCCTTGTGGATACAATCGACTGCTTTAGGACGATCTTCAATAGTAGTTTGTAAATTTATTCTTTGAACATCAGCTTACAAGTGGTAGAGAGAAGATGTTTGGAATGGTACTTATTTATGAAAATAATGAATAAGAGAATAGATAACACGCTGCTTTGGGGAACGTCAGCTACGGTGTCAAGCCATAAAGAAAGTTGATCTTGGGCACGAATTAGTTGCCGGGGTCCGTACAAATAACTACAATATCAGGAAATGTGCAGTTAGATTTGCTTTTTTGAGGAAAGGGGACGTCCATTTTAGTCCAGCACATAAGGAGTTTAGCGGGGGGTGGGAGTCAATCTCACGTGGGAGAGAGGAAGGGTCTCCCTAAATTTTACATTTTTGTTACGGAATAAACACGTATTTTTTTCCGCAACAGAAATGTAAAATTTCAAGAAACTGGATTAAATTAAGTAAATTATGTTTAAATCCTACACAATAATATTTATCACGGCTATCCAAACTACAAATTATATTAAAAATAATTAAGCAAATTACGTTTCTTTTTTTTATTAAACCCAACTCAATCAAGCACAGATTGAGGTATTTAAAATAAAAATAATCATTTTGAAAAATCACACATCTCACCAGGGAGAGGGGGAAGGAAGGAAAATCGCCAAAATCCCCTCACATAAATAATGAACGCCCCAAAGGTATGATGTGTTTATTCTTCAATGAAAACAAAAAAATTAATCTTTTTAATTTCTATAGACCATTTTCTGAGTGCCTGATTCCAGCCCTGCAGTAAACAGCAACTGTTAATTTTAATTTAATGTTATTATTAACTAAATTTTAAATTAAAAATATGTTATTTTTAACTTTTAATAACATAAATAAGCCTTAGTCACTAAAGAAGTTACGTTTACTATATTATGTCCATATTTCCAAATGCATCTGTTAGGAGCTCTCGGAATAGAGTAATTGAGTTCTGTGGTCAGAAGTTTTGGCAAGTTTTGGCGGATTGTTGCTTCTTTTTTATCGTTTAAATAATGATTGGAAGTGGATTTTTATGTAATAGTGAAAGTGATGCGGTTTTGTATATTAAGTGACTGTGTATTTGAACTATTACAGAAAACGACGAAACACGTGCTTCGATGTTGATATAAACCTAAAGTTATTTTGATCGCTTAGGCGCCTGAACTTGAGAGACTGTCGTCATCGACTCTTTGAGCTCTTGTCAAAATCTCCCAAGAACTTCGCAATGTAACGGATCAGCGTATTGTGAAGAAAAAATCTATAAAAACGAAGATCTAGAATGAATACAGATATGGCTTAAAGAACACGCATCCAAGCCGAAAATCCTCATTAAATAAAAATAAAAAATGCAAATGTCAAAATAATGCGGCAAAAATGTCAACTTTTTTAAGTGATAACCGATCAGCTGTTTTTAAATTATATTATCGGTAATGCATATCATATAAATATAATAATCAACGCATTTGTGTTGTCATGCGTTATGCGACTAAGAAAAAAATTTTGTATTTAGTGTTTGTTATCATATTGATAATTTTACTCCTGCACGTTGATCTAAACGCACGGAAAACCAATATATTTATTGAGAAACGTAAAATTTCAAGTGTATTGCATGAAGAAACATCTGAAAATTTTACTAGTACTGCCCTTGTTGACTGTGATTATAATGATATAATTTATGATGATACAAAATTACCGTTGAATTTAATAGACGGCGATTTAAGTGAAGTTTACAGAATAAAAGAAGGTGGAGAATATGCTCCAACTGAATGTAAAGCTAGGTTTAGTACAGCAATTGTCGTCCCATATCGGTAATAACATATATCTTTATCATAATATTTAAGGATGCATTGGTAAATGTATAATTTTATTACTTATTGCGAATAATGAATACAGGGATAGAGCTGAACTCTTGCGAAGTTTCTTAATATATATGCACTCGTTTTTGCGTCGCCAGTATATCCACTATCGGATATATGTTGTGGAACAAGTGGATTCACAACCATTCAACAGAGCTAAGTTGATAAATATTGGTGCAGTGACTGCCATGAGAACTGGATACCCTTGTCTGATTCTTCATGATATTGACTTGTTGCCAATAAAGGTGGCTAATATATATGCTTGCACCAAGCAGCCTAGGCACATGTCAAACAATGTTAATAAGTTTAGGTGGAAAGTTACTAAGTATAAATCTTTTTTATGTAATACAAATACAGTAGTGGAACATAATAAACCATTTGTTACTTTTAACCTCACCCAACTATGTATGAACATCAACTAGACTGCATTCTTGTAAGCATTTCAAGTAGTAGCTTTAATCGCTGAGAATGTGCACAATAGTATAACTGCTTATATTATCATGTTTATATACTACCAGTAAAAGTGTGAACAATAGAAAATAATGTCATTTAGTCTTATTACAAAACATGATTTTTTGAGTCTCAGTTTTAAAGAAGTCTTTGTCCTGAAAGAAGTCCTTTAGCTGCAGGACCACAGTCTTTTTTAGTTTGCATAGTTTCAACAGGACTTCTTCATTGAATCAGACCAGTTTAAACCTGAGATTAATTATAAACTTTTTTGTATTAAGATTGTATAAGTAACTTACTTTTTATTTTCAGTTTTATTTTCCCTTATTCAAAACTATTTGGAGAGGTTACTGCCATTATAGCAAACCAATTCAAAAATATAAATGGAATGAGTAACCAATATTTTGATCGGGGTGGTGAAGATGATGACTTTTATGCTCGTTTGGAGTCACACAACCTAAAATTGTGTAGGTTTGAGCCTGAAACTAGTGAATACCATGTGATTGCACCTAGGTTGCAAAGAAAGAGGTAAGGACTGAGTTAATTCTTTAAGATTATTTACACAAATACCCATCGTAGCTTTTATTATCCAAGATTGTTTAGATACCTATATGGTTTCTAATTTGACAATCTATTGCTATAGAGAAAACATTTCAATACATTGGCCAGGAAGGAAAAGGGAGATTTCTCGCCAGGCAAAACGTTCAGCCCAGGCACTAATCAAAGCTCTATTGGTAATATGTAGCTATTTTATATGTACCAACACTTGGAAACTTCAATAGCATAATTTAGATTTGGATTTGTTTTACCCTTGTGGGGAGATGACTGTGCCTCCACAATACTATTATCAATAATTTATTTTAGAAATATAAATGTGCCACCACAACCAATAATCCTTATAATAATATTTATCCTATACTGCCCAAATTACACAGATAATTACAATATCTTCCTGTTTTTTTTTTAGGAATGCAAGAAAACTACAATCAAGGTTAACTGAAGATGGATTAAGTTCATTAAAGTATACTGAAGTAGCCACAGTTTTACATCCACTATTTACCCATATTATGGTTGATTTGTAGCATATCTTGTTATAGCTTTATCAATTGATAAAAGGACTATGCTTAACTGTAAGAATTGATGTACCTGCCATTAATCACAAAGATATAGTTGGGTAATTTTTTAGTAATACATAAAAGCAATTTATGTATGTAAATGTAACGTAACCTCCATGGTACAGGAAAAAACCCTAGTATGGGGGTAACTTTAAAATAAAATACATATCAACATGATTTCTTAATTTTATCAATGTTACCAGACAAAGGAAAAATTGTCCAGTGTCATTTGTTTGTTCTCATAATATTAAAAAGTAGCCTGTATTTATATTTTAAAAATTATTTTTTTTTCATTTTGCTATCAATAGTCAAGATGTCTTTAAGATAGAACCATCATCATTATAAAAGCTCAGTGTAAAAGCTTAGTGTGTTCATTACCAATAAATAAGATGTATTAACTTTTTCATTTACAATACCTGAGTGGTTGTTTCCATTGAAATATAATAAATTAAAATCTGAATGACTTGCATGCTAATTATGTATATGTATAGAATATGGAGACTTACCTCATAATTATCGATATTATTCGATTGCTTCGTTAATCTAGTGGTCGTAGACGCGACTGCTTATCATGAGGTTCCGAAGTTTGAATCCCGGGTTGGGCCAACAAAAATTAGTTTTTGAGTTTTTTGCCAAAAAGTTTTCAAAAGTTGGTGGTGGTTCACCGTGTATCGGAATGTACGTAAAGCCATTAGACCTGCGCCAAAATATTATTTATTTGCATATTTATCAAAATAAAACATTTTTATATTGGGCATGGATATTTATTTGGTTTTATGTTGTAAACAGATTATTTAAAGTAAGTAGTAGATAGATGGTCCCATATCACTAGCATCCAAAAATGTAGGTACATGTACAGTCAAGTCATTTATTATAATAATAGACAATGTTGATATATGTGGTGGCCAAGTTGTAGAATTGATCTTAACATGAGGTGCCAGACCATGAAATGCAACCAATTCATGATTTAGATGAGCCAATTATTATTGGCCAGACTATGTAAACGTCATTACAAGATGGTTTACATCTAGTAATATAAGTTACAGTAGGATGAGATGCGGCTGTGGTGGCCCATGTGTATGTAATATATAAATTATTAAAATAGTGAAGTGGCCTCTGTTGTTTTACGATATGACCATACAATGTCTGTACATATCATGGAATAGCCATTGAAGTTATATGTACATACTAGAACAGAAGAATTGTTTTTTATCGTGTTAGAGTCAGCTGGCTCTAACTCAATTATTCTGGACCAAGCGCTTGCCGTAGTGACGCAATTAAGGGCTAAGTTAAAACATAGATATTATATATGCCAAGAAGTGACTTTTGCACTAATTCTCTGTATTATCGATACAAAACGCGAAATTTGAATATATTTATCAATTTTGGCGACACGTCACAGCGCTGGCGGCCATGATCTAAGCAGGTGTGACTCTATTGACGTTGTAATCAAAAGGAATAAAATATTAATTCCGTTTTAGTGAAAATTGTAATACATATAAATTAATTATCAGACCAATACATTATAAAAATAATGACCTCTTTACCGAATTTCGGTCACAGTGCTAGCATCAACGTATGCGAAAACAAAGGTGGGTTCTCAATTCCCTCACTCTCATAGCTCGATGAGACGGTAAACCGACACGACCAGAGAGAGATCAGGCGCAGGACCAACAGCTTTACATGCTTTCCAAGCCACATGGGTGAAACACCGCCAGTTTCCTGACTCCGGGCATCTACTGAGAATTTCTTGTTGAGAATAAATGCCAACCCGGGCCCAGATGATAACAAAATAAAAAAATTACCTAGAAAAAACAATATATTATATAAACAGGGTGCCGCTTCTTTTAGTTGTAGCACGAATAGGTCGGCTCGACAGGAGAAGGACCACGCTCTCACAGAATACCAGCGTAAAATAGTAGTTTAACGCTGCTGTGTTTCGTATGGTGAGTGTAGAGAACCAGAGACCTTTTTTACTGGAAACGAGGCATTCCATCTTAGTCCTCACGGGTGACTACGCATCTGCATTTTGATTCGTAATCGAGGATAGATGTAAATGTCTATGGGCCACAGCAACCACTTGCCATCAGGTGGACTGTGAGCTCGTTTGTCACCCTATCCTATAAAAAAATCAAGTAATATAATTAAAACGACCTGTTATTTTTTATGTAATACAATAGGAACAATAGGTGTATGCAAAGTGTCGCCTCAGTGTTATTATGTCACATTTTTGACTCATTGGCCTCGTCCCGCAAGCTCCGCACTGCTGTTACCGACACATTTTACTTATCTATTAAAATATTTAAAAACATTATGATAGTAATTGTGACATCATAATATTGTTATATCTTATTAATTTACTATATGTAAAGTTCTCGAGTGGCAGCCTCGTACCGGTAGGCGTAGTGTAAGACCTGGTAAGACATGCAGGAAGTCGATTGATGCAGATGGCTCATGACCGTGCTTTGTGGCCTATGTTCAGCAGTGGACTTGTGAAGGGCTGTAATGACGATGATGATGCAAAATAAATGACAATTTGTTAAAAATTGAACTTGTTATAATTAAGATTATTACGTCACTATACGGTGTCCACTAGCTACCGCATGTCGTCCGGTGGATTTCATCAGAGGCGACATAGGAAAACAAACTAGGAGGTAGGCACCGGCGTTTTCTTTAAACAAAAACTGCGGTTGCTAAGCATGGTAAATACCGTCTATGAGGCAAACTATATTGAAGGCCTAAGTTCAGTATTGGACTTTAATGGAACGATAAACAATATTGGTAGGTAGAACCATCAGTAAGTCCAGTTTGCTGCACGCTGAGGTTAATCTGTGATGACAAAAACTAACTGCGCATGTGCGACGACACAGTGACGCATTTTTTTTGTAATTGCTGTTTTAGTATGTTACTTCATTATACTTCAATGGAAATAGCCTAGTGTTTAGCTGTTTAGTTGCTTATATCGTCAAACGGTCTCCACTTATTTGTCATTTCACGAAATGGTCAGCTACTTTAAGATATGATCAATTTATTCTATCTACTATCTGGCCAAGACATGTTATAAGTACACTTTTAAATTAACAAAAACTGCAAGATTTATTGCTATCAATTTTATTTTATATCAGAATAATATTATTCTAGCAACTATTGTACCATTTAAAAGTATTCTGAACAAATCATTAATTGCAAATAAGAAAAACAATAATAATCATTCAAATTCATTCATTCATTCATATTTGAATAAAACTAGACTTGTCATAAGCTCATAAGTTACCTATGTAATATAAAATTAACTTATAAACTAAAGACATTAATTATTAATAACCAATTTGTTAAAAATATCACACAATTCCGATAAAAATAAAACCAGCACCGTTCCTTTCACCAAGTACGGCTCCGTTTACATTTTGAGAAGTGACAAGTGCGAGTTGCAAGTGCAACTGACAGATGACAAGTGTTTAGTGCGAATTTTATTCACACTTATCACTTGTCATTTGCCATTATCACTTGCCATTCGCACTTGTCACTTCTCAAAATGTAAACTGGGCCTAAATGTAACATTATAGCCCATATACATCTCAAATCTCAATGCTGGGCCTTTTCTTATTTCTGAATTTTTGAGTGTTTATCCAAGTAAAGATTATTGCAGTGAAAACTTCTTTATCCGCGTTGAGCGATTTTTGGTAGGGGAAAAACCTACCTCACACCTCGCAATTTCTACTACCTACCACTTACAATGTAGTCCGTGCGTAGTATGGACATAGTAAAAACAGAATAGTAGGTAATATTCTAAGAAATGTACCGAAAGCTGCTAATTGGGTGCGTGCCTGGCACGTGACAGTACGGACTTGTAAGCACGAGCCACAGCACGCACCCAACGACACTTGCTAAGTCGGAAAGATCGGGTCAGTCGGGAACACACACCGCCGAGCTCCGCAATCACCTTTGTTTGAGATTTTGTTGATTTTTAATAAAATTTTGCTAGCAGTCTTTTTTTCGTTTTATTTTCTCTTTTTGTAAAATAAATTAATAATGTGTTTAAGTAAACTAGCTTTTTATTAATAGGTTATAATACTATAACTACACATAGATACATACCTCATAAGTATATTATCATATCACATCAGATCAAATTAATTTTAAACATCAAATCTAAGCTGACATCATATGCTCATTGTTAATTTACTCGTATTTTAGTTATTTCGCATTTGTTGTAATGTAAAGCTGGATTTTTTTGACAAACAGTGATTCTTTGAGAGGAAACTAAAGAAATGATTAACAAATATGATGCATAGGTACGTATCCGTATGTATTATATTTGTAAATATTATTACTACTTATAAAACTAAATGAGAATTAGCTGTTAAACAAAAAGACAGTGACAAACCTGCAGTAATAGGCATTTAAGTCTCGCGCGGCGCGGGAGAAATCCTACTATTCTGTTTTTACTATGGTATGGAGGCCTGTGTACATGTAGTATACGCATATATCATTGAGTTTTCACTTATGTCGGCAGTCCTTATTTGTTTTCTCTTTTAAGAAGATGTTTTTATAATAAAACCAATTTACAATAATTTTACAACTAGTTACATAAGAAAAGGGACCTGTGCCCAGCAGTGCCGTATATAGGCTGTAGTTTTACTTTTATATGCAATTCAATATTTACACAAATATCAAACATGTGTTAAATTACAAAACAAACCTATTACATAGGTATTTGAAATCATAAGTTTCTTATGCATTTCTCAGTGTACATAATTGTACAAAATTTTATGTTTATGTTCAAATCCATATTTTAATATAAAGAAATCTTATTGTAAGGGATCGAAATATTTTAAATTGTTTGTTGTGAACGATAACATTAAACAGAGGCTGTCCCTCAGTGGTGTTGTTTGCAAAGTGACACCCCTAATAATAAAGCTAGTCACACACTAAGCAAATACGATAAGATATCTGTATCTGAGCGCATATCTTTCAATATGGCTCTCTATGAAATTCTATGAACTATATAACACACACAGCTCAGATAATTTATATTTTATCTTTTAATACCTGTAAGCATATATCAAAAGATGGTGACAATACTATCTGCTCATACAAATATATCAGCATATACAAATATGGCATAGGATTTTACCTGCACATAAATAGTCGCTGAAAAACTGCGATGACTTTTGGCTTGATATATTATTGATATCCTTTTCAAGCTTGATATGACGTTCTATCTAAATTCTTCTCCAAAAACACGTCTAGTAAGTTTAAAGGATTTGTAGTGAATGTATAATTTCGTATATTATCGTATCTGCGAATTTTATGACTCGCTAAATAATGTAGTTACAATTATGTAGTAATTGATATTAATTTATTCAGTATACCTACAAAAAATATGTAAAGTCGTAGACAATCATTAAAATTGCATTAGGGAGGCACTGAAGTACTATAAAGTGCCTTTCTATCTCAGATTTCTCTTTGAACCTTTCAACAAACAACATCTCGTATCCGGGGTGGAAAGGCGGAATGCTAAATAGGGTTCAAACTTAGGATCGCTTTTGTGGAGCATTGGTTACGACTAGGTGTTGCGGGGCATTTTACTCCCGGGTGTGAACATTATATGTTAAACGAATAACACATTTGTCATCTCCCGGAGGTGACCTACGAAGAGATTGCTTGTCTTGTACTGTATCAGTGGCACAAGCT